CAGATCAGCAGCAACGTGAAACAGATCAGCAGCAACGTGAAACAGATGAGCAGCAACATGAAACAGATCAGCAGCAACGTGAAACAGATCAGCAGCAACGTGAAACAGATTAGCAGCAACATGAAACAGATCAGCAGCAACATGATGTGATTTTTTTCACAGTGATTATTCTGGTTAGAGATTCCTGAGTCTGACAGCCTCAGGGTAGAAGCTGTTCCTCAGTCTAGTGGTTCTACACTTAATGCTCCTCAAACTCCTTCCTGAGGGGAGCGGGGCAACAAGTGTGTGTGCTGGGTGAGTGTGGTCCTTCACTCCTTCGTGTGTGTGTTTAGATGAAAACTCTCCAATAAACAAGCGTTCTCATAGGATCTAAATAATGTTTAACTCCTAGGGGGAGAGTTGACATACCACCAGTCTTGTAATTAAAACAAAAGAGCTGCAGAACAAATAAACATGTTCATAGTTCCTTCCTCTTTGATCTGATTTGATGCTTTTAGGGCTGCATGTGCCCGAGTACAGTGAGAACTTGAAGAAGTCATGGGTGTGGAAAGAGCTGTACTCTGTGAGGAACATCAGACCGTCCTTCCACAACCCCTTTGGCCTGTACGGTGGCATGGTTTACACGGGGATCTTCTACTGGATCCTGCGAGGAAAAGAGCCGTGGACCCTCAAACACAGTGGTGAGTACTAAAGAGCAGAACCGCTGCACAACCGTGTTCAAGTTTCAGCTGTACTTTTAATTTAGTCTTTCAAGGGGAACAGAGCGCTAAATGCAGGGAGGAAAACTGATCTCAAACGAGAACAGAATTTATTAGCAGGAACCTCTTGTTCCTCTAAAGTTAGAAGCACAAAGAACAGTCTAATAAAGCTCCTGTGACATCAGCTGAATGTATAGAAGACATGTGTATTCAATGGAGCGCCACAGTTTATCACTATCTGTTGACTCGGACCAGTAGCATCCAGAATATTCCAGAGGTTTATCTTTAGGAGAACGATCTTATTAAAAACTCAACGTTTGTGTGCGGCAGGTCTTGATGCACACCAGCTGAAACCAGCTAAAGACTGTACGCCCATCGAGTATCCCAAGCCTGACGGCAAGATTAGCTTTGACCTGCTGTCCTCTGTGGCCCTGAGCGGCACCAACCACGAGGGGGACCAGCCCCCACATCTCACCTTAAAGGATGACGGCGTCCCGGTGGGCCAGAACCTGGCTGTCTATGATGGACCTGAGCAGCGGTTCTGCCCTGCAGGTAACACCGAGTGTCTGATCCCAGCTGTGATCCGTGCAGCTGCACGCACGGTTCATCTTCTGCTCCTTTGTCCTGAGCCCAATTTACCAAAATAAAACAGGGTCATTTATTTTGAAGGCTGATAACAAAATAATAAATTCTTCTGCTACAGTTTTAAAAACTGTGCTTTGCAACTATAATCTTTTAGTGATAGTCACTTGAGTCTTTGACTGAAAAAAACTAAACAATTATTCAGTTTTATAAAGTAAAACATTTTTAGCCAGAGATGTAAAAACAAAAAGATTATGACAAGTGTTCAAATAATTCATAAAAATATGTAGCGCTTCTTTTCTTAATCGATTGTTTTAAATTACAATTTTTATTTGTGTGAATAAAAGCAGCTGGTTCTCCCAAATTAAAGATGAAACAAATAATGTAACTTATCAACCAACGTGTCTCTCCTGATTCTGGGAGTGTTCCTGAAGTCGGGACAGAGACCCTGCTGGGGGTCGTGGAAGAACTAGAGAGGGTCTTCGATCTCCAGAAACAAAAATACATGCAAATAAATATTCCTATTGGCCGTTACCTTTACAACTAAATACTAAATTCATGTATTAATAAAATATACTATTTGTGTACAGCAGTCCCTCGTTTATTGCTGGGGTTACGTTCCACACCCCCCCTCGATAGGTGAAAAACCGCCAAGTAGGAGCGTATTTATTTTAGTATTTATATATATATATATATATATTCTTTATAAACACTCCCCACACGCTTTCAATGTTCTAAACTCTTAAATCTATGTCATTTTAACAACATACATGTTACTGCACAGCAGCTACTGCATTATATGAAGAACTCACCAGCTCTGCAGAAGCTCGGTTCTGGTCGGACTCGGTTCTGGCCGGGCTCGGTTCTGTTCAGCGAACCTGCAGCATGACGAATCCCACCACCTCGTCCAGGTTGATGTGCACGTGCTGCTGCTCCAGGAAGGAGACAGCTCACACAAAGCTGCCCAGGATGTAGTCCACTACCACGGCCCGGGTCCGGACCAGTACCGCACAACCAGAACCAGACCAAACCCCGTCGCGGTCTGTTCCCTGTAGCCCCCAGGATCCGGGTCACACTGAGTCCGGATCAACTGCAGCCCAGGTCACCAGTGAAGATAAAACTTGAAGGATGTGTTCAGCTTCAGTTCTCTTCTTTCCCTCCATCTTGTCATAAAGCAGTGACTGGAAGCACTGTTGGTTTCTGGGTAGTGTAGTTCTTTTGACTGGCGTTACAGCGTAGGCTTATTGAAAGAAAACTACAAAATGGCAGCGCCTGTCCAAAGTTTTTTTCCGTTAACTTTTTATCCCGTACCGTCCCGGTCATGTGATATTAAAGTTGACGATCGTTGAAAAACCATGAAAGAGCCTCGAAAGTTGAACCGTGAAGTAGCGAGGGACAACGTAATTTACTCTCACAATCCTCTCCTGCTGCTTTATTTTTTAACGGACCAAAGAACCACTGAGGTGTTTCTGTTCCAAACTGTTATAACTCGTTATAAAAAATAAAGCGGTTAACTCTTCCAAAGTGGCTCGGCTCAAATCGTTTCCTAACTTCGTTTCCTGTCACACGTCCCTCCTTCTAGGTGTCTACGAGTTCGTTCCCTTGGAAACGGGAGACGGGATGAGATTACAGATTAACGCTCAGAACTGTGTCCACTGCAAGACCTGCGACATCAAAGACCCGAGCCAGAACATCAACTGGGTGGTTCCTGAGGGCGGCGGCGGACCTGCCTACAACGGAATGTGACCTCTTGTTCCCACCGGTTGTCTTGAAGGATTAGTTTTATGTTCAGGGTGACGGTACAGTTCAGAGGATGTGCCAAAACACATCCAAGTACACAACTGTTCCAGGGTACAAGAATTATGTTTTATGTTTTCAACTTGAGGTTTGAAACCCGTGTAAAGCCAGGACCACGTGCAAGTCAAACTGTCAGCTCGTGCTTTACTCTCTGGGGGGGCTCTTTTAGGAGGAATACTTGAACAGCAGCATTACCAGGTAGTTAAGTTTATGTCAATATTGTAAAATTCAACGAGCTGTAAAATGTTCAGCCACTGTTGGCAGCATATTTTAACAGCATGCAACAAATTATATACTGTGACAGTAATTAATAAAAAACACTTGATGGTTAGTCTTTATTTTATCGAGCTGTAAAAACATAAATAAGGACATGGATGAACTGCAAGAGGTCCGAGGTACCAAAAACTCAACCGTGATATGATTGAACATACAACGTGACTTATCCAGAACAAAGGCCAGCGTGTGTCCAGTTCTTCAGCAGAATCGGACTAAAGCTCAACTTTTCAGTGAAGTCGGATCAAACTTTTAATTCCCGCAAAACAAAACTGTGTCTGGTGGAAAACACGACGGGAACAGTACGATGGAAATGTGCGTTTTCCCATGACTGGACTCCTCCATCCTGACGTCACGTATTCACACGAACATCTTGGCGTAGATCTTCTTCTCCCGCTCCTTCTCTTCCTGGATTTTATGATGGACTTTCTTCAGCTCGTTGTTGATGGCTGTAAACAAAAAGTTGAAGTTTTTACTTATTTCCAGGCAGAAAGAAGGGGAATCGAACTGTCACTATGTAACTGTTTTTGTGGCTGAGTGGTTAGAGCAGTCGTCCTTCAATGGGAGAGTTGAGGGTTCGATTCCACCAGCAGTAACATGCTGAAGTGTCCCTGGGCAAGACACTGAACCTCTCGCTGCCTCCGATGCGAGTCCCATCGGTGTATGAATGTGATCAAGCTCTGGTTAGTCTCTACAGATTCAGATGATCTTTGTAGAGATGTATGAATGTGTTGGAGGTAACTGAGGCACAGATTCAAAGATGTTTCCTACAACACATCCAGAGCACGATGGCCCTTCTTTTCTAGCTTGTAATAAAAATTAAAAACTGCTAACTAAACTATTAAAAGTGCAACAGTGAAAAGTAGAAAAGCTTGAGACGTGCAGAGAACCCAAACCCAGTCTGAACCTGTGAAGGTGTCCCGTGAACTCGGCCCAGTTCTACGTTATTTACTGATTTCCAGGAATTCATCTGTTCAGAAATGAATCTGGTCTTTGGATAACTTCGGACACGTTTCAGAATCGAGCGTCGTGTAAAATAACTGGACTGAATTGTTTGAATCTGGATCAGTTCTGGACCGAACTGGATTTATCATTTGGATTTTTTCCGATGTACGGTGCCCTGCCATGACTTTTGGTGCGATTTGAGGCTTTATAAATAAAATTTGTGTTATTTATTCTGTAATACAAAAATAAAGTTTAAAATGTTCTACCTTAACTTTAAAAAATGTACAATATTTGTCAAATTCATTCAACCTTTATTTAGACAGGTACATCCCATATATAATATAAATACATATAAATAATTCAACATTAAGAAGTTTAGGGCTGCATTCGCTGCACAATAATAATAAAAACCGTCGATTAAAAGAAAATAAAACTAAAGATCTCACCTTTATCTTCTGGAGCAACTTCCTGAGCTTTTTTAAGATCAGTCTGCAACGAGAAAGATGAAACAATTTGGATTAAAACTAAAGTATAAAAGACATTGCTAAATCAAATTTTCTGTTTTCCCACCATTTAAAAAAAGTTTTCTATTATTTTACTTGAAGAGAATAAATAACATGAACATTCTGAGCAGTCAAGAGTTTCTGTCTCCAACAACTAATTTTCTTTGAATAAAGGTTCTCACTGCAAAGCAAAAGTTAAAAGTTATCCTGAACTATATCAAACGGAGCCGTTTGAAAGAATTTACTACGATCGTTCTCGGAGACGTCTTGAACGCAGCTCAGCTGAATCTGTCAAAGATACGTGGAAGCTCGAGTCACATGACTGACGGTCACTGCTGATGTAAAGAGATATGGCAGAATTGGACAAGTACTGGACCTCGGAGTGACTGCTGCTAAACGCCAAAGAAAAAAGGATTAAGACGACCGTCAAGAATAAACATCAGGGCCATAAAGACACGTTCAAACACGGTTCAATAAACTTCAGCCACATCAAGAAGTTTAACATTGGACCCGTTTTAAGTAGCTTCGGCTGTTTCTGTAGGTAAACCAACATATGGTCATTGACATTCTGTCACAATTTCTTTAATTTAAAGGACACGGTAACCACTGAAATGAGAAAAATATGGAATATGATATAATATTGTGTGGATCAAGTGGTATCTTTTTGTTTGTCCGGTCTTCATGACTTTGCAATGAGTGCCTTTAATGAGCGAGCTAGTTTAATGAAGTTACCATGGCGTTGTTGTATTCCTTCAGCCCCTGCCAGGCCTGGGCTCTTCGGAAAAGTGCCTTAGCGTTTGATTGGTTCAGTTCAAGAGCCTGCAACAGGAAAAAAAACATCTTAGCTCAACTTTTGTCAGAAAATCACTTTTAAAATAAGCTTTAAAACTGACAGTGTGGGTCAAAATCAATTAACCTGCATGTAAACTGCACCACTACGAGCTGATTTTATTCTCTTAAAAGAAGGTTTATATAAGTAGAAGCTGTTGAACAGTATACAAGTACATGCAGTTTAAAAGAAATGCACCTGTATTGTTGGATCCTAAACATCTGAACAGTAAAAACAAAGTTCCAGGATGTAACAGCCCCCAGTGAAAAGATAGTCGGGTATTTAAGGTAAAGCAAAGATAAAAGTCAGCCTGGTTGTTTCATCAAGCAAAGACATACTAACTGTTCGCAGTGAATATTGACTACACAGCGACTCATAAACCTAGTATTGATGCGTTACGGGAGTTCAGAAGCAACACACCACGAGCCTCTCACAACGGTAAAGAATTGCTTTGCTCAGGCTGATGTCACCTCGTTGCAGCTGTCCAGAGCTTCCTGCCACAGCTGCAGCTTCAGTTTGCAAGCAGCTGTGTTCAGAACGCAGCTGAGCGCCGTGGGCTCCAGCTTCTTCTGAGCCGCCTCCTCCAGCTGATCTCCACACATCTTCAAGTACCTGAATTAATGCAAAGTGTAAAAACATAATTAAAAAAACAACATGTTGGTTTTTCAGTTGCATTCATAATAAGGTACGGACTTTTTTTGTAGTTTAAACGCGCTGTTTTTTTTTCTGTTTTATATTTTTTCTAATGTTTATGTGTTTCCCTGAGCATGAAGCTAAATGTTTTTTGCAGCAGCAACTTTAAATGCTCGGTGCTCGTACGTTTGAAGTGTGTGCAGATGAAATCTTTCATTTCACGGTTCCTTTTAAAGAGTGCGGCTCCATCTGTCCTCTCTGAGGACGGCTGTGACTGAAAGTAAAGCAGGGACACTTTCAACTCACCTCAGGGCTTTACTGTATTTGTTGACTGCAGCTTTCCAGTCTTGGTTCTTAAAAAGCGCATTTCCAACGTTCTTCACGTCTTCGGCGAACGACAGAACTTTGTCGACCTGAAAGATTGAAATGAAACTAGTTACATGTTTTTTTTTCACACTGGGAAACTTGTCTCACGTTTTCTCCTCAGATGAATCTGGTCAGGATGAAAACAATAAAACCAGAAACACGGTGTGTTGAATTTAAGATGCAGGATTTATAAACTTAATTTTCAACACAAGGTAGATTCTATTTTTACCTGTTTTGTTGCTTTGGAGAGCAGATTTTATGAGCAACCATTTTTTAATAAGCAGGTTATTTACACAAGACCTGAGCAGCTTTTCTATTAAAGTAAAATTTCAGGGGATGTGCTGAACTTCTTTAGCAGCTGTTTCTTCTGCGTACAATGTCTCCCAGTCTAAATCCATCCTTGAACTTGATAATAACATTTGTATCTGTCCTCTCTGCTAACAAGCCTGTTTCCAAAAAATGGCACCGCGGTCCTTGTGGAGCTGATTGATGTTATTTGCCAAAGTTAACCCGTGTCCTCAGATCCAAGACCTCCCTGATCCTTACATCCTTAAAGTCGAGGTCGGCGTCCTCGGGGAAGTCTGGGTGGGCATCTTCTGTTCCATCATTTGGTGCGGAGCCCCAGCTGTCCCCGTCCTTATGCTCGCCGCAGTCGGCTATGACACAAGGCTGAAAAGGCAGAAATGTTAGAGAAAAATTACATTTGCAGCTCAGAAATTTGTCACAGAACTAAAGGATTATTTTCTATCAAAGTCTGTCAGCTAACACGTTACCGAAACGCTTCGAGGCTGAAGGTTATGAGCTCAAACTCATCAGGTTTAAAGAGGATTTACCTTTAAAGGCGCATCGTCCACAGTTTCAATGGCCTCCAGCAGTTTTACAACTCCCATCCCTTTTAACACTTGTCCAAAGACCACGTGTTTTCCATCCAAGTGTGGCGTTGGTACAGTGGTGATGAAGAACTGAGAACCGTTGGTGTTGGGCCCAGCGTTGGCCATGCTCAGCAGACCCACTTTGCTGTGCTACAAAGAACAAATGTTCAGAAGGGAAACGTTATCATTACCAGTAAGGACATCAGAATGATGTCGAGTTGCATCTTTAGATACTACATGACATTACAGAGAAATAAACGTTGTTGGTGGATATTAATTTAATGTTTGTTTTTTATAACTGTTAATCTCTCACATTGTAAACTCTCCTGTAGCTGAATCCGTCCATTTTAGTGGTTGATAATTTACCTTGTAGTGAAAGTTTTCATCTTCAAACTTATCCCCGTAGATGCTCTCGCCCCCAGTGCCGTTATGGTTGGAGAAGTCCCCTCCCTGGATCATGAACTGCTTGATGACTGTCAAAGACAAATTTAAAGCCCGATCAAGATGAACCACAATGACCGACAACAAACCGTGCGCTGTCCTTTGTAATAACAAGCAGCTTTTCATTTTGTAATCTCCACCAACTGCTGGCGTGTTGTTCAAATGTTTATTTGTGCACATTGTTGTAATAAACAATATCACTTTCCAGCAGAAGTCTTTGCTTTACAAGTCACAGTTACACATTTAGCTTATAAAATATCTACTACGTGGCACTGCACTTGGATTTTTTTCTTCTTCAGCTTCAATGTGTCAGCTCAACAAACTTAAATATGACTTTGAGTGAAAGGTTCACGGTTTTTTTACTTCTGTGGAACGGGCATCCTTTGAAGTGCAGCGGCTTCCCTGTCGCTTTTCCGACGCCTTTCTCTCCGGTGCAGAGCGCTCTGAAGTTTTCTGCGGTCTTTGGGGTGATATCGGCAAACAGCTCCAGAACAATTCGGCCAGCTGAGGAGAGAAAATATAAAAAATACACCCCTTAGGTTTAAGATGGATGGGACTGCATTGATAAAATATATGTTTAAATTTACAGGAAATGACTAGTGCCAATGTATACCCTTAAACTGCCTAAAAAATAAGAATATAAACATTCAGGAGTAGCACAAAACATCTTTATATATTATGTCCTTACTAGATTTTAAAGTAATATTCATTATTTATAGATCTTAAGATTTTCTGGTAAGTTATCTTTGTAACTATCCCACACAAGCCACATATGTTCAGTCTTTCTCAAATTGTGTCATGACCTTTAACATTCAAGGTTCTTTGCTGTCATTCACATCACATGGTACATGAGGTGGAATGAAATTATGCACTCAAGGTCTTAGTTACACCCAAAAATAGCAATAATATAAAGTATTTAAAGAAAAGAAAAAATATACAAAGATCTAAGATATACCCTAACCAATAATAATATAAATAAGGTGTATTAAACTGCAGCCTGAACATTAATTGACATTACTGTGTAAAATGAGGCTCGTGGAGTCAGACATGGCTCTCAGGTGTTGCATTTCCTCTGAGCTTTACATAATAATAATAATGTCATCACAATGTCAGCACTGTATGTTTCCATACAATGGCGAAGTTAGTCTCTGC